ATATATATATGTATAAGCATGTCTGTGCTGGTCTAATGAGTAGTGAAACTCTTTTCATTTTTTGGAATCCTATTCATGTTTTTCCTCTTTCAGTAGCACAGCACAATGATTGTAATGTCTACATGTATTTTATATCAAATGGGACTTTAACTAAAATGTTAGCATTTTTTATTTTTATATTTTTTATTTTTTGTATTTTTTCGCTTGTTACAAAACACATCTCCACAACAAAGCATCATAATGCTTTGTTGTGCTTTATGTGATGGTGTTTTTTAGTCTGAACTACTGTAGATGCTGTGATAGAAACAATAACAAAATGGCAACACTCTGGTTGAAATATTGTGACTGGTGAAAGTAATTAGCTTGATATCACTTGATGTAGGATTCCTTAAATATTTATGAGTTTACTTTTAATTAGAGTTGTTAAAAGTAGAATCTGATCAAAATACATGCACAAAACATAGATGCAGTAAAGAAAACTTTTCTCAGTGCAATCTGTATCCCCCTCATGACGTACAGTGTAAATCTCATTCATAGGCCTGACAAAGACTCCCCTTTTTCAACTCCAGTAGTTGGCATACTTTAATACTGATAAAATGCAAAGAGATCAAAGACTTATTTGATTAATAGCTGCCAAATCTTTTTGATACTGTATATGTGCAGTGTGAAACAGCATAATCCACACAGCCCAACAATACTGACATATTCCATCTTCCAAGCCCTCAGGCCAGTAAAAAGCCATGGAGACAAGTTAGGGGATTGTGTTAAAGTTGAGTTCAAACAAGAACAAACATGGATCTTCTCTTGGAAACATGAGAGAAAGAATCCGGTTTATTAAAACAGTTCCTCAGAGATTCTGATGCAGAAAATGGCGGATTAGTGTGGGCGCTCCTAATTTTGCATTTGTGGGGGTGCGTTTCCTTTCAAATGGTTTTGGTAGAAGGCTCACAGAGAGGGCTGTTGCATCCCACGAGAGCTTTGAGTGAGACCATGTGAAGTTTCCTTGAGACATCAACACACACGTCTGAAGCTCTTCCACATACATTTCATCCAGTTCTCCCAACACTAACGGAGATAAGCTTAATGAGCCTCACGAGGTGCTGAAAAGGCTTTGCAGTCTGGGGTCAAAGATCACTGTGCTCTTGTGCATAGCTGAAAAAGTCTCTCTGGGGTCATGCAATGTTTATGTGGAAATCCCACCTTTGGGGCGATTATTCATACATCACGTTCGCCTGGTGGGGTTAACTTCTTGATAGGTGGGATCTTTGTGTTCATTCCAGACATTATGTAGAAGGCATTGGCAGCCAGGAAATGTACGTGTCAGCAGCACTTTTTTTTCTCTGGATGTGTGAGGGATTTAACATTTCCCTTTCAAAGCTGCTTATTTAACCACTCTTGATTTCTGAAAGGCACAGTATAACTCAATTAGTATCAACATGTTAATATTAAGCCACCTGACTAATGTTCAGTCCTTAGGTAGGAAATCCAAATACTCACACTGAATGCAACATGTGGCATGTACTCCAAAGTGTACATCATTTAAGGTATATCCATGCAGGGACGACTGGTATAAGTGGGCTAGTAGGGCTAAGCCCTCCCTGGTGTTTACAAAAATAATGTTAACATACCTAAATATTTAAAAAAAATACTGTAGCACTTTTGTGAAAATTATAACAAAATCGGTGCCAAACAGTCTCAAAAATTCTCAGTCTTTCCAAAGAGCTAACATTTCACAGCCCTGTTCACTTATTGTCTTTCATGGAATGATTCAGACATCTTGTAGAATATCTCTCTCAAATCCATCAGGTTTACCTATAAAGTCTGGACTGGATAATAGGAATTAGAAGAAAAGAACATGCTGCTTAGGTCAGTTGTAGATTTTAATACATTTTGTACAAACTATATCCTATATACAATATATATTAGGGGTGCAACTATGTAGAAAATTCATGATTCTGTTCGGTTCAATACTTTAGTCTCACGGTTCAATATTTTTTGATACATGTAATGGAACTAATACGTTTATGTTTAAGCTAATAATTCATGACATCCTTTAATGACCTAGGTTTTCATGACATGCTGTTCATCTGCAGACAGAATGATTAAAGTCAGAATAAGATTTGCTAACAACAGTCATTCTTAGATATCACTTGTGTTTTTCTTTGTGTTTTCCATTGACCTTGTATCAAATTTTGCTAAGATGACATAATGGTGTTTGTTAATATATATATGAGGCCTCTCGAGACACAGGGTTCAACTGTAGTGTGGAGAGACAGTGACAGAGAGAAGCAGAGGCGCAGAGACAGGCCAGGTTGTTCTCTGTGTTTCCTGTTGTTGCAATAAAACTCAGCTGATCATCTCACGGAGTACCTTCATTCTTGGACCACGTATTTCTGTCTTTGTTAAATAAATATTGCCCTAACAATACAAAACAGAGAAATTTCCATTCCCCTTTTAACTTGTTATTAACTTAAATTAAGTATGAACATTTTTTCAACCTCAAAAGTACAGTTTTTAAATTACATGTTGCTGAAACAGCAAGTTTCTCAGCAGATCTGCGCTTGAAAATGCAACCTAGGTGAAGTAGTAGAACACAGATCCACTGATCCTTTAACACAGAGCATCTTCAGAAGACAAGCTGATAACATAAATTTAAAAAATCTGTATTGTTCGATACAAGTGTGTATTGAACCTAAAGCACTGTATTGAACGGTTCGATACGGGTACATGTATTGTTGCCCCCTATACGTATATACAGTATATATATATATATATATATATATATATATACAGTATATATATATATATATATACAGTATATATATACTATATATATATATATATATATATATAGCATGAATGTGGTTTTGTCTTTTGTCCTAAAGGGTAAAATTAAGAACAAATGTTAACACTGTCTACTTGCCTTTATAATTTCTCCTCACTGGCCATAAAGTCCCCTTCAACCCCCCTTCAAAGGCTTCACTTCAACAAACTCGAAAATGCCACAAACCACCAGTTGATAATCATAGTTGTAACATGTTTTGCAGCTCCAGGCACATTATAATAGTGCCTCAAGGAGCAGAAATGTCTGTTTTGATGGTAAAAAATTGCAGACCCCTAGTTCAGGGTCAGCCCAAGGCCAACAGGGTTTAGGGTGGACATACAATAACATCCCTCAAGCACAAGTGTATGTGGGTATGGTTTGGCGTAAGTTTTGATGGCAAGCAAGATGAACATAAACAAGGTGGATAATTTGATTTCCCATCTGTTGTCCTTCATGTTTTTGGACCACACACCGGGAGTGAAGAGATAGTGGGCAGATAGACCAAGGGATATTCAAATACAGCAACAGTAAAAGCAGCAAAACTGCAGTTTTTCTGTAACCTGTAGCGAAAGGCCTGGCTAACGACTAGATTAACTAACAAAATCTCTTTTCTGTTTTCCATGTTTGTAGTTTGGAGGAGACACAGAAGGTTTTATCTATATACTAGATATCTATTAGCCCACCCTACAAATATCACCACCAGCCACTTCTGCACCCATGATATTGTAGGTATGTGTAAGTAGAGCAAGTTTATGCATTTATGCCAAACTGTCATGTGCATAGTCATTAACAACAAATGCTTCTAAACTGTGCATCAGGCAATTTCTGAGTCATCCAAGTTTGTTTTTATGCATGTTTTTGATGGCGTAGATGAGGGGAAAAAATACGAGGTGAAACGTTCCGATAAAAATGACCGGGATGGATGGAGATGAAAAAAGCTTAAGCAGAAAATCAGTGACGAAAAGTTGCATGAAACTGGGATATGACAGCAGGGTGGGAAGAGCTTCAAAACTAAATCAACATATTTACTCACATTTAGCCAAACTCAACACCCGAAACAAACATTATAATCATTTTGGGGATTAGTTTGTGCCATAAATATTTCACGAGAGAAATGGCCAAACACTGATATAGTACCCAGATGACCTTAGCGGCTGAACCTCCATTGTGAAGCCCTTTCAAATCATATCATTTCATTTAAGCGTGTAATAATCTGAGCTAAATAGAACTGTAAAGGTCAAATATTCCGTACAGTGATGTGTCCCCGAATGATACAGCTTTTTCACTGAGGTATTTCATTATGTAATATGAGTTAAATACAGAAAGACTCAGGGCTGACCTTGGCTCATAAACTCACTAAGACGAGATCTGTTTACTTGTTGCCTGTTGGGGGGGCTTGGTGTAACTCATTTAGAGGGATTTAACTGTGCAAGATATATTTATCATTGCAAATTAGGCACATTTCTGGTGCACGCAAAAGGCATTCTTGTGTATCACGGGTTTTAAATACACACGCTGATACACCAGGCGTTGTCATGGAGCCAAATACAGGAAACATCCAGGAAATCCCAGCTGAGCACTGAACTTTTTAATAATGAAAGCTTGTCAGCAAATGTAATGAGATACTGTATTCTGTGGGGATCTCAGGCTATGTTTTACAACGTTTTGTTTGAAGGTCAAGCAGGCTGCAGTGGGACGCGTGGAAAAGAATAGATCACAGAGGCGAGGGAGAAGGAAGGAGTCGGGTTCATCAAGATTTTGGGAGATCTTACCTTCTGCAGCCACTGCGTGTTGTTCTCCATGGCACTCTCCAGAGTCTCCAGCTTCCTCTGCTGCCATGAAGGCCTGTCCTCCTGGGCCCGACTTTGCTTGGACGGACTTGGCTTGGCCTCAGGCGGCGAGTCGCTCTGCAGGGTATTGGTCACCTGGAAGTCCTTTACGGGTTGGCAGTGCTCCACCTCTGGGAGAATGAATGTGTAGCTGCAGGGGCCATGCTGCACGCGGTGCTGCTGGCGCTGTGAGGCGATGGCATTGGCCAACAGGTAGGCCAGGTAGGCAAAGGTCAAGGCCAGCAAGCGGCCCATATCAGGGCAAGGAAAAATCAAAAAGGGAGGGAGGGAAGAGGGTGCAATAGGAGCACTGTTTTTTTTTTTTAGTTATTAATCCTTCAGATTTCTCCTTTCCTGTCTTTTCAGTCCAACTCCTACTGCTGCTCCACTGTCTGTTTTATAACTTTTACTTCTCCTTATTTGGCAACTCTCCCTCTTTGCTGTTGCATCAATAGTCCTCTTGAGGCCAATTCATGCTCCCGCTGGTTTGCAGGAGGACAGACAAACACACACACACACACACACACACACACACACACAGGAAACAGAGGGATTGTTTTACACTGAAAGTCCAACACTCACCCGGCACATGTAGCGCTACCCAGGAAGCCAACAACAAAGTTCCACTATTTATCTGCGGTTTTAAAAAAGTTGCATGCCTCGGGCTCGTCTTTTCAAGCTGCTGGAGTCCATGCGTTGGTCTGAAGGAGAGGGGGAGAGCAGAGGTGGAGTGCAGTGTGGCCTGCTTCAGGATGTTGGCTGAAGTGGTAACGCTCTTAAAACTACAGAGAAAGAGAGAGAGAGAGTGAGAGAGGCGTGTGACTACATACACACAACCCCTAACAAACAATCGCTCTACCACCCTTCCCTCTTTTTTTATTCTCTCCCTCTCTTTTGCAGCCCTCCTGTTTGCTGGGGTTAGAAAAGGAAGCTGCAAAAATACACACTACTACAAGAGCCTTAAGATTATTGTAAAACAAAAAAAAAAAACCTTTTCCATCCCTCCCATTCTTGATATAGCTTCTCCCCCACTGTCTTCCACTTTCTGTGCCCCCCTCAAATCAAACTTTTCTGTAGCAACAGGGTCAGAATCAAATATCGAGATACAACGGCAGCTGAAGCAGGGTTTACGTGCAATGGGCAACAACTCAGAGTGTGACAGACTTTTGTGTTTTGTGTTTTGATAAACAACCCAGTCTGTTAGCCGAATACGGATCGATAACAGTTTACTGTCTCTGAATGCTGTGGGGAGTGTTTTACCTTCTGCTGTAGGCTGAAGTGACACGATCTGTTTTCTCTTGTGAGCAGGATTTTTCTGTCAACTCATCTTAGAGCAGGGGTGCCCATACTTTTTTCCCAGAGAGTTCCAAAAGAAAAACTCTATCCGAGGGCTGTGGGCAAAATGTAATAATATATAAATGCTATTATGTATTTTCCAGGCACATTCAACTCTATATTATGTTCAGTTGTTATAAAAATTGTGTTTATATCAAACATTAATTTGGCATTGCATCATAAACTCTTTGAAACTGACATCTGTCTCTTTAAGAATCTCGCACTGTTTCTGCCACTCCCACTTCAGCACATCGTCACAACAATGCTTCGGGGAGGGGTGCTTTGTGGGGCGGAAGCTCAGCTGCAAACTGAGCTCCAGGGAGGAGCTTGGGTAAATAGGCGGAGCTTCGTACCAGCAAGTAATTTTAGGCAACTCCAAATGGCTACTACAGGAAGTTCGAGGAGTTCTCAAACATGCATGCTTGAGTCAAAGAAGCATTCTGAGTATGTTTTTGATAAGAGAATAACATTATAACATCATATAAAGTCATTTTTATTGTTCATGTTAGCAGTCAATGCGGAGGCCCGTGTTTTGTTTGATTTTTTGTATTTTTTTTACTTTTACTTGGAGAAAGTTTGTCATACACTCGGGCTGCAAAGGCACATGGGTCATTTCAGAAGCTGACAAAAAGGAGTGTTTATGGCCTTATAAAGTGTGCAAATCTACATGTATGCTTAACTCTAATCTAAACTAAATGTTTCTTGTAGTTTCTTGTATTTAATGTTTAATACTAACATTATTCAAAGATAAAGCAAGCACCGTGAGTGAAAACTATCTGCACCACATCCCCTTATACAGGCACTGAGCGAAAACATGCAATGACTAAGTGGAAATATGTTGTTTTTGGGGGGAGAGAGAGAGAGAGAGAGAGAGAGAGAGAGAGAGAGAGAGAGAGAGAGAGAGAGAGAGAGAGAGAGAGAG